TGGAGTGCTGGAGAGTGGTGAAGACAGACATGAACAAAGGAAATTAATTTCACAATATTTACTTCCATAAAATCTGCAACATCCATTGGCAAGACAAGATATCCATGGTGAACATATATGAAAATACGGGATTCAACAACATTGCCCTGGAGATCAGAATAACCAGGATCAGATGGCTCAGACACGTAAAGAAGATGCCTCAAGAATGGTTACTAGCCTTCAGATTGACGTTAATATGTACGTCCAATGATAATCTTGTGACGAACAGTGGTGGTCGAGCTGGAGGACATGAGACATTCTCGTGGCGAGACACAAGTCAATGCTCAAGACTGACAAACACAGCGAAAGATAGCTGCAGCCTTATGTCCAAGATGGGATGAATATAACTAATTACTCACCAAGTGTCACCACAATAACTTCCAACAGGTACCAACACAATAATCCCCCTTCTTAACTACTCAACAGCTGTCAACCAAATAACTTTCCTTATTACGCAACAGATGTCAACCAAAAAACTCCTTTCCTGAGTATATAACCAGGAACAGGTGTCAGCACAATAATTTCATTGATAATTGCCTATCAGGTATCCAAAAAGTAAATTCCTTCCTAATTACCCAATAGATGTCAACCAAATAACTCCCTTACTAATTACCCAATAGATGTCAACCAAATAACTCCCTTCCTAATTACCCATAATGGAAGAGGTGTCAGCACAGTAATTTCATTGATAATTACCTATCAGTTATCAACAAAGTAACGCCCTTCCTAATTACCCAACAGATGTCAAGCAAATAACTCCCTTCATGATTATACAAGCAGGAACGTGTGTCGACACAATAACTCCATTTCTAATTATCCAGCAGGTTTCAGCACAATAACTCAATTGCCCTTCATGTGTCAACACAATAACTCCATGATTATACAAGCAGAAACATGTGTCGACACAATAACTCCATTTCTAATTATCCAGCAGGTTTCAGCACAATAACTCCATTACCCTTCATGTGTCAACACAATAACTCCATTCCAAATTATCCAGTACGTGTCACCAAAATAACTTCCACCAGGGGTCAGCACAATAAATCCGTTCCTATTTATACAAATTGGAACAGGTGTCAATATCACACCTCCATTTCTGATTATCCAACAGTTGTCGACAGAACAACTCTTTCTCCTTATAAACCAACAGGTCTCAATACGATCATTCTTTCCTAATTACACAGCATGTGTTAACATTTTACGAAGTCATATAATATTTTCCTTTTGGACATTATTTCAAAATTTTCGATAAAAGTTTTCGTTTGTTAATGTCAGTCTGAAACTGAAATGGTACAATAAATGAAACTGCTAAATACTACTGTCATAAATTACATCTTACTGAAAATATATTGGCAAGCTGCGATAATTCCATGGAATAAATAAATAAATAAATAATTTTTAAAAAAAATTGTATAACCTTATAGGTATTTTGTGTGCAAAATCAAATTTCGTTTAAGTTACTTTAGTGAAAGTACATCAGAAAGTTTCATTTCTGATGCTGCAATAAGTTTATAGAAAAACAATGGAATATACCATCTTTTGTACAAATACATTACCACCCTAAAACTGCACTTCCTAAAAGTTTTTTGTATATGCATAATAAGTATTTTGTTCAAACTTTATATGATATTATTACTTTCAATTAACCTAGATTAATTTCCCAAACAACCTTTTCATGTTTAGACGCCGAGAAGTTGTTAGATCACTTACCGATGGTACTAGAAGAAAAAGATGGTACTTCTCATGTTGAATTACTGTTTGGCTGTAATCATCAAAGAATCAGGTAATTACACATTGTTACTGACATATGTTTAATAATAATAATAATAATAATAATAATAATAATAATAATAATAATAATAATAATAATAATAATAATAATAATAATAATTATTATTATTATTATTATTATTATTATTATTATTATTATTATTATTATTATTATTATTATTATTATTATTATTATTATTATTATTATTATTATTATTATTATTATTATTATTATTATTATTATTATTAGTGTTGTTGTTGTCGTGTTGTTTTTGTTGTCAATATCATCTAATAATAACAAAACATTTTCATAAAAGTAACAATTTAGTCATTGTCAAAGAATTTATATGCAAGGACTTTATTCCTTTTAATTAATAACCTTCATCACAAATATAATATTCAACTAATAATTTAAGTAACTGCCTACTGCTATGAAACCGCTCCAGTGGCCTAGTGGCTAGTACGTCCCTTCGGATGTGGGAGGTCGTGGGTTCGATCCCCGGCCTAGTCATACCAAAGACTTATAAAAATAGTACTAACAGCAGCTTCTCTTAGCGCTCAGCATTAAGAGGTTAGTGTTAGGATTGGTCGGCCTAGTGTCAGGATAATGTGACTGGGTGGGACATCATGCTACATGTCTGAGGCATGATGCCCAGTGCTAGACATCACTATAAACTGCCATTCTGCAGACATCGTAGCGATATGGTTAAAAAAATTGTTAAAGCACTTTCTTCTAATTAAAATTTTATTATTATAAGTATTTAGTGCTTTTCTTACTGAATATATTCATATAATATACTTTGAGTGTTAAAGAAAATCCATCACTTGTAGTTGTTTTGGGTTTAACGCCATTTCTCAGCACACTTTATGCGTTACATAGAAGCCAGTATACATTATGCAGAGAAAATTCCTGGTAAACTCCAATAAGAAGCACCGACCCACGGGAAGCAACTACAAGCTTTCTAACACACCCACATTGGTCGAGCTCGAAATTCTGACCCACGCGGACAGAGGTGAGATGGTAGTAATCGGTAACGGCGAGCGCATTAGACCAGTAGGCCATCCTGGGCCACATATTCATCAGCCAATAAAACGAAATGTCTCAATTCTCATCAAACTCAAGAAAGTAGTAAAATATATGACTTACCATGCAACATCCCCTTCGTCAGATTCACGTTCATGGGTTGTGAAGATCGCGATTAATGTATTCAAAAGGATGTTATCCGTCCCGTTCTTCATTGAAAGTGATCACAATCGAAGTATTCTTTCAAATATGACAGTGACTTTCATTTACCCTTCTACAGCCTCGGGTAGTACCCTCACTGAATGCAAAATCCAAGTATCATTAATGGATTCTCCTTATAACGAGATCATCTAATTCTTTGTCATCTGTTATACCACACCTTTAAATGAAAACAATGAGTCAAATGACGGCTTAGAACCATCGTGTATATTACCATACGAGACGGCTGATATTTATATTTATAACTCAACTACCTTCAATCTAACTACATTCATACAAGTCCTTGGTTATATATTTCTTCGAATTTCCCACCTCAATTAGCCGACTTATTCATTTCAACATGTTAGTATAACTACAAAACAAATGGTCTTAAGACCAGAAATTTAAAACACTTGGCAACACAACGGTTATCTTTTATGACGACTTAATAACAGGGTACATTAACCAAAGGTCATAATAATGACAGCTTATATCAGTTGTCCTAACCCATCGCATTAATGCTAACCCCCTACCCTTGTTTCAAAATCTTTGATTTTGTTACAATTTACTAACAGAGAAAACTCACAGAAGTCACGTGATCTTCTTATACTCTTTTTTTTTTGTTCTGTTAGAAATACATTTATAAACATTTAAATATAGGCATCACATGTGTCAGTTACAGCAGCGGCGCCATCAATGTCATCGTTTGTAGAGTAGTGTCGAGTTCAAACTGTAGCAGGTTAGATACGGTGACACATCATGCTTGGAGCCATGTGCAACACCAGATTCTGCAAAACATTCGTTTGCTCTTTTCACAGATTTCACTGAAAATAATTTTTTAAAACTAAAATCTTAGATTTTCACTGAAGGTTATGACTACGATCCTAAAATTTTATAAACTTGAAGAAATCTATCGTTGATGTTTGTTCCGATTAAAAAATACCATATGATGTTTTATTTTCAGACAAATAATACAAAACAAATATTATTTAATCATTCCTTTTCACAGGTTCGTCCTATGACATTTTTGCTCCTCAGCCTTTAAAGAAAACAGAAAACGGTGGTATGCATGTTTTCAGATTGATAGTCCATTATTTCCATTCCTACCGTAGAAATAGTCACAATCCAAACAAAGAAGCGCCATGTCAGGTGAAGTAGTTCATAGGTCGCAAGCTTTTCCTTCAAAACTGAATCAATGTGCATAGAAAATATACTACGTACTGAATCCTATGAGTGACCTTTTCAGTTTCCATGCTCATTTAAAATTTCAATAGGTATGTACAACACCGGTATCCATGGAAATAAAAACAAAAGAAGAAACACACTCATAACACTAAACTGAGAGAGAGAGAGAGAGAGAGAGAGAGAGAGAGAGAGAGAGAGAGAGAGAGAGAGAGAGAGAGAGAGAGAGAGAGAGAGAGAGAGAGAGAGAGTCATTGTGTCTAATAAAAAATAGTTTTAGAGACGTGATATATTTAAAACAAAGATTTTTTTAGTTTTACAACACATAACCCCCAAAAATGCAAATATTTACCACTCGTACAAGATTTATAGTAATTCCAGATCGTGATCAATCAGTCAATCGATCCATTAATACGTTAATTATCACTCTGCCTGAATATTGCTTGCATTGGCTTTTGTGGGAAAATAATGTTTCATATAAATGTACTCATTTTACACAAAATCTTAAGAGTCCAGTGGAAAGAAATTCCTTGGGCAAAATTGAAATGGATCCTGACATCTATAAAGACAATGTTCTACTTTCACAAAAGACCATGCTAAATTATTACACAAACTCGGGGATGGTTCCAATCTTAGTTCATGATATTAGATATATATATTCTACGTGCATATAAGTTCATCACCATCAGTTCAAGACAAAATTTGTTTGCAGCAAGGTTCCTCAAAATCAAATTAATTAGAATTTGATCATCTACAGATTTTATATAATACAATAAGTTAGTTTGACAACTCCAGCAGCCTAGGTTGTTAGAGCGCCTGCCTCGAATGCGGAAGGTCGCGGGTTCGAACCCCGACCGAGTCATACCAAAGACGTTTAAAAATGGTGCTAGTTGATGCCTAGCTTAGCGCTCAGCATTAAGAGGTAAGTGTTAGAACTGGTCGGCCTGGTGTCAGTATAATGTAAAAGAGTGGGACATCATGCTATACGACGCACGGCAGATATCGTAGCGATGTATCTACACTTGTTATAGTTACGTTTTAAATCTAAAACACTCAATCGCACAAATAAAGTTAGTTTCGCCCAACATGTACGTGGCCAGCGAGAGAAAACATGTTTGCTAATACAGGACTCGGCTTTCTTTTAGTGAGACGTGTGCATTTTAAATTAACCGTTCATCTCGATATGCTCCCGTTCAGCCCAGACATTTGCCTTTAACCATATATGCAATCTGTCAAATAATGTATTTGAAGAGGAGATCGATAAGTCAGATACGCTTAAATTAACATGCCTTTCAGTCCACAGTCTATTGACTTATCACAACAAAACATAATGCAGAGTGCCACCAAGGACGTATTGCCTAATCTGTTGTACCAATTCATCTTTCATAAAGTTGATCGTAGTGTTACTATGGCACGTACTTGTCAAGACGCATTCGAGAAGCTTAGTTTTTCAATCTTATCTTTCGGTACTAAAGACCGATGTTAGTACTCTTAGAATATCCTATTGTTCGTCTGATTTATTAACAATCGAAGGCATACGCATTCAGTGAGAAATCAAACTCATTTCGGTCAACTAGTTTTCATTTGTGATGTTATGGAACATAGATGCAGTACTACACACAAGGGTTGAACAAGGGTGTATTGTAACAAAACTAGCATTATTTGGTTGATGTTACACAAATGATGGGGGAAAACTAAATATTCCGATGGAAACTATATTTCCTCCTTTCTCGAGAAAGAATCTATCTAGCTTTGGGCATTTAAGAAAAACGATGCCATGTGTAAAATGTGTTATTGTAGACATACTTTGAAATTGTCCACTAGGTCGTCAGTATATGGGATAGGTTTATTTGGTTATATATATATATATATATATATATATATATATATATATATATATATATATATATATATATATATATATATATATATATATATATATGTGTTATAGACATATATAGCTGGTGCAGCAATTATTGTGGACCAGACATCATTCTCTCTCTCTCTCTCTCTCTCTCTCTCTCTCTCTCTCTCTCTCTCTCTCTCTCTCTCTCTCTCTCTCTCTCTCTCTCTCTCTCTCTCTCTCTCTCTCTCTCTCTCTCTCATTACCTTTGCAAGTCATCAAGGAAGGGTATGATTATAGACAGTATGAAGATTCTTCTACTTAATTAAAATGTCCAATCTATGTCTATTACCCTTCTTGAGGCTTTTCCTTGAAAATTCGTGCAAATGAGATCTTTTATCCAAACCGTATTTATTCACAAAGCTGCGAAATGGATGATGACTTCCACCCTCCATCCTCGTCTATTAATAAGTTACATCGCCCAGAACCGACGTAATAGGACGTACAATGTATTACGAAGACCATGCACTTGTAGAAAATGACGGGTAACTTTTATCCATTTCTAATTCTTCTATTGTATAGTATGTCTTTCAAATGAATGGTAAGTGTACAACGTGACAGTTGCAACAGGGAGAAGTAAAAAAGAGAGATGTAAAAAAGTGAAACAAATTATAAAGGATGCAATGAGTACACAGATATACGTTAGAGGATAATGGACGATTGATGGACTATTATTACAATTCTGAAATCACTGATGATATCGTCGTCTACATCGTCGTCTGCATCGTCATCGTCGTCTGCATCGTCATTGTAGCCATCATCATCATAATCATCGTTGTCATCATCATCATCATCATCATCATCATCATCATCATCATCATCATCATCATCATTATCATTATCATTAAGTTTATTCACTGTGATCAGGACGTTGTCATGAGACCCAATGGCTTGTCTGATCCTTTGCCGTATTTCTTCGTTGGTGACACGATCTTTGTATCAGACGCCGAGGATCTTTCGGAAGCATCTCATCTCTGTGGCCTGTATCCTTTTCTCTAAGTCAGCTGTTATGGACCATGATTCACAGAAGTAGATAATTATGGAGTTTATCAGTGATTACATCAGTCTGACCTTTGAACTGAGTGTGTCGTTCTTGTCTCTCCAGAATGGCTTCAGTTTTGTCAGCGCTGCTATTGTCTGCGAAATCTTGGAGAGTACTTCATGCTTCGATCCTTCATCTGTTACAATTGCCCCCAAATACATGAAGCTATGGACTGTTTCTAGCTTCGTACCTTGAACTGTGATGTCAGTGTTGATACACTTGGCGTTGTTGGTCATCATTTTGGTCCTCCCTGCACTGATTTCCATTCAGTAGGCTGCAGAGGTTTTGTTGAAGCTGTCTACTAAGTAAGCTAGCTAGTTCTTTTTCATTTCCTGCTAGTCCATCAATGTCATCGGCAAAACGTAGGTTGGTGACTGTTCTGCCTCCGATGCTGACTGCCACTTCATGCTTTTTAAGCGTGTAAGCAATGATTTTCTTCAGAAAGATGTTGAATAATGTGGGAGAGAGCACTGCCGTTCTGAACCAGTCCCCTATGCTGCCGTTGAAGTAAACTGCACTGGAAAACTTGTCATAGAGGTGCTCCATTACTGCAATGAGGCTGACATTGATGTTATATAGTCTCTTGTTCGCCCACAAGGCTGCGTGCCATACCTTTTCAAATGTGTTCTTGAAATCCACAAAGACGTGGAACAGATCTTATTGTTGTTGGCGGTACATCTCATACAATATCCTGAGGTTTAAGATCTGCGCCGTTGTGATGCATCATGCTCTGAAACCTGCCTGCTCATCGGCAACGGTCTTTTCAGCCTGTGGCTTTAGTCTGTTCAGCAGTATCCTCAACATGACTTTGCTTGGATGGCTTATAAGACTGATTTACGGTGGTTTTGACACTGATTTAAGACGCCTTTCTTGGGAAAGGTGATGATCAGTGATTGGGTTCACGGCGATGGCCATACTCCTGTACTGCCTGATCTTTTACAGATATTTGTGATAGCGCTAATTTTTGCTTCTCCCCTTGCTTGGACTAGTTCTTCTGGGATGTTGTCCACTCCTGCTGACTTCCTCATTTTCTTGGTCAAGTTTAAACATCGCCAAGACTCGAAGCTTCCGGGGAGCGGAAATTGAAAGTGATCATGATCTGGTGATGGTGAACTTCAGGCTACTGAAGGATTCTGAAGTATCAGCAGCATTCCGGGTAATGATTAGTGGGAAATTTGCACCGCTGACCGTCCTCGAAGCTGACGATACAGACATGGACACCTTGATCACAGCAACGACCGAAACAGCAAGCGAAATCCTTGGTAGACATCGCCCAGACATGAAACCCTGGGTCGCAGCTGAGGTCCTGAACCTGTGTGACAAGAGACGAAAAAGAACGATTAAGAAGGGGCAGAGCAGTACACGGCAGTCAACCGGGAAGTCAATAAAAGCATGAACAAAGCAAAAGAGAAATGGATAGAAGAATAATCCAAAGACATTGAAGGGAACTTGAAAAGGAACAACAGCAAGAAAGATCTAACAAGCGTGTGTATCTCCTTTACTGGGCTAGCTTCTGTTTATTCATTCATTTGCTTGTGAATTTCTTTTCTAAAATTCGTATTTATTTAATAATGACTAGTAAGTCTTTTGCTATCTACAATACTATATTTCCCTGAACAACTATGTCTTATTAGTCACTGAGAAAACGACATAGAAATTTGTCTCAGTTTATTTCTGTCACAGTAACGTTACTCAACATACGATTTACGATTTATCGCAAATAATGATACTTGTGTCAAGAACTTGTGGAAAAACAGAAATTGGATAGACCAAAAAGTGGATTGACCAAAAAAGTAAAATGAATCAAATTCAGTTTTAGATAACGGTGAATCCACACTCTGTCAAATTTCACTTGGTTTAGTCTTACTAGAAGCTCAAACCCATATGGCTAAAGTTCAACATAATATTGAATTATTGTTCAGATAGACCGAACATTTCTATGTGCACTCGTCCTCGTCTACTCCGACGTTAGGCCACGTGCTAGCCTACCAAAATAATTTCCGTTACCAGCCACGAATAAGTTTTCTTTCTTATAAAATATATATATATATATATATATATATATATATATATATATATATATATATATATATATATATATATATATATATATATATATATATATATGTATTTACTAGTGGAACAAACGATTTTCATTTTCAGTCAGTAAATGTTCTTATTTTTCGCATATTAGCCTAATATTAATCAAAACACCAAACATTATTGTTTGCAAATCTTTAGTGTAATCTAATGTTGACATTTAAAATATGTCTACCTATTTTCAACATAATGTTGGCTTTTGGGGCATGACGCAAGCGGTAAGACGGAAGACACATCTAGGTTCTAAGATGACCAATGGTCACGTCGTCTTATTATTAGTCGACATAAAAAAATGATTATGTTGTCTTACATTATACTTGTGTTCACTTATTTCAAGTCTTCTATCAACTTATTTGAAATTATGTCGACATATTGGAATGAATAAGTAAGTGTGCGTGTGTAAGTGTAAAAGTGGCATTTGGGTGGAGAAATACGCCTACATAGAAGTCCGATCCTAAGCTGTGCTTGTCGACCATTCAAGTTTGGATTTTTAATAGAGCATGGAATTTTCTTTTCATCTAAAATATTTTCTTTAAATTTGATCAAGAATATTTCTTAAGCTATTTGGTGGCCGGAAATTGTTTCACAAAAGTATCCCTGCCCCCACCCACCCCACCTTCCAAAAAGAATAGGTGGTCCTTAATGTACTATACCAACATACAGAATTCTGGTTCATTTGTTAGTTCATAAATATCAAAGAAAAGTATGAAAATCTTACCAAAAAAAATATTACATTTCAAATGAGTCGATGTAAGGCAGTTAGCTCGTTTCATTAAAATAGATTGTGATTCATATTTGTTTTATTGAAACAATATGT